CTGATGATTCAAGGGTATTTATTATGGGAGAAAGCATTCTCTGAGATGTAGTCATCATTATCTTCGGCTTGCCTTAAATCTAAATCCTCTTCTGCATTTTGTGTATATAAAAAAGCACAACTTGGAATATGTAATATGAAATAGACAACTGCAGTACATTCGGCTTTAGCTGTAAGGGAAGCATGGCCATTGCAGGTGGTAGGAAATTTCACACTCTTCTGCTTGTATCCATGGTGATGCCAACACATGCTACTGAAATAGTGCTTTGGTGATACCAGTGCATCATGTTCTTGAGGTGTCCATAGGGCACGGTGTAGGTTTACCAATGGAAGGATTTGCTTTATCTTTTGAACAAAATCAGCTGAATCTGTTCTATACTTGCTGGACCATAGAAAATAAGGAGATTGGGGGCGGAGGTGGGGGGGAAGCTGGTGGGCTGTGTGAAGTTTCTACACGGATTTGTCTCTCACACCCACGGGCAGAATAGCAGAGATACACTTCTATCCTATGGAAATTTCACTGCTAATGATGACTGTCCCTTATACAGCTTTCCCCAGTCTGATGCAACTCCTAGAATTCCCAACCTGCCTGGACATTTGCTGTAATGGCTGGGAATTTGAAAGTTGTAGTTTGAAAACAAGACTGCCTCATTCATGCTCCACTGAACTCCTGCCTTCTCCTTGAAGGGATTTTTGAAGGATTTATGCTTCTAATCTAAAAAGTGTAGATTCTTCTTCCTATATTTCTATTGCCCAAAGCTGCAGCTTATATTGCTTCAAAATCATAAAGCTACATCTTTAAATAAATAGAAAAAAAAAATGAGGGAAATTAGTAACATATTTCTAAACTGCATTTCAAGCTACCAAGTTCAGAGGACACCAAGGATTCCACAGTTCAACCCTGAGTTACAGATATATTTCTTCTGTAGATAATAGCCTTCGTATGGTAGCTAGCCATTCTTACATGTAAAGTTCACTGAACAATATCGTATGTACAAGCAGAGGATTACTTGTCATGGTTGATAGTATCGAGTTATGACACTTAAGGCTTTGGAATATTACTAAAATGCAAGCTGTTTATATGGTGCAATAAACATGTATGTATATAAAGGGGCTGAGCCTGGTGCCAATGCAATTAGTTATTTTTATGTTTCAGGGGGGAAAAAACCCTCTGGTGACCAAATTGGTGGTTGGAACCATCGTGCACAGAGTACAGGAAGCCTGAGCCTCCTCCCACTGCCTTGCTGTTCTTGTTTAGGGCAAAAATACAGATAACCAATAGATGGAAGCAAAAATTTACAGAAAGTGGCATGCTGCCATCTAGTGGCCATCTGTGCTTTTGCAGCCCAGATAAGGTAGTCCTACCTTATTTCATCCCTGTAGGCCCCAAGTTAAGGGTTTGGAAGCAGCAGAGATACATGCAGTACATTCAAATGCTTCAGAAGGATGTTACTATAGTTCAAGAAAACATATCTTCTACAAATTATGGCTACAAGCTGTGCCATAACTTTCTCATAGCTAAGCGTATCAAGCAACTGTGTTATAAAACTATACTCAATTGTGGATTTTAAGTTACATTTCTACTTTGGGGGAAGGAAATCTCTTGCCTGATTTTTTTTTTTTTAATAATTATTACTAAATGTAAATAACTGCACTGAGTCAGTCCACAGAGCCTTCTCATACAAGATATAAGCTCCTTACCCAAGCTTTGCATTAGGGATAATTTGAAAGGAACTGTGTAGGAAGGTCTCCTGCTGGGTTTGGTGAATTTAAGTTGCTGGCAGGGAGGGCGCAGGTAGGAGGATAATGGAAAAAAAATAGTTGGAGGATGGATAGGAGTATCAATTCCTTGGAGTCTCCTCACACCTGGTTAACTTGGCTTATAAAAACCAGTAAATACAGAACCACACATTGCTGAATTACTCTCCAGGGACGCCTTAGGAGGATGGAAAGAGTTTATATCACTTGTATAATGCTTACATGAAGAGTTCCTCCCTCCACCATGGTCTTTAAGTAAGGAAACCAAGTTAGGATACTTGGGCAGCAGGATAATTAAAAGCAAGGGATGCCTGGGCTGAGGTACAAAGCCTAAGTGTTCAGCTATGAAGTTATCTTCCTGCTAGCCCCCCTTTCTCTCCAAATGCCAAATCACTGCTGTTTTCTCTTGGAAGGACTACCATAACACTTGGGCACGATACAATCTGTTAGTTGAGGAAGACAACATATGTAAAACAGGCTATTAGCTGTAACAAGAGGCACGATTGTTCCATAATAGTTATTTCTTCCCAAACTATCTAGTGGTCTATCAGTGATCTATCAGTCCCTCAACTGTTGTTTGTTATATTCCATTCCTCTTAGCTGGCACAATTGTGTGTGTGTGTGTGTGTGTGTGTGTGTGTAAGTTCAGTACCACCTTGAGATATAGATGCAACATATCCTCTAGGTTATCATCAACTATGTTTTCAAAATCCCAATGTGCAAACTGGGCCCTGCCCTAACAGGAATAAATATATACCTAAAGGATGAAAACATAACCAAGTTAGAAAAAGTAATTCCATTCCTATTACCGATAAAGCTGCTTTGGAATGAGGGATTTCATTCTTCACATCTCCTATAGTCATGAAATTCTCCACCATGTCTTGTTTAATGTCTTAGTGAAGCTTTTGAGATCAACCAAAATGTCAACTTTCCAGTAACATCCACATTTAGATTCCAGAACAATACAGTAGTGGCTTATGTGGAAGTAGGCAAAGTAAGCTGTAGCAGAGCCAGAAAACAAGGCTTAATGTGACACCATGAAACTGTGAGACATTGTATGGAAATATCCTTGGGGAGAAACCACTGATATATAAAAAGCATCAATCCATCTCTTAAATAATACCACACATTCTCTTTAAAAGATTGTATTCCCTGCAATGTGTTTCTGATTATCATTTTCAGCCTTCAAGACATACATAGCCTTGGTCCCAGTATCATGGTTAGAATTGCTTTCATCTCAGAACTGGATTGGAGTGGCATACAAGTCCCAGTAAAATACCTTTGAGATGTATTTAACTTCCGCTTCCCTAATTGTCAGCATGACTACTGGAGGGAAGATGCCTACCCATTAAGGTCACGAGCAACCAGGGATTTGACAATATTTGTTTCAGAAAAGACACTGTGTTCTATTATTAGGGGGGATGTGCCCTGGTTGAGATAGGCTTGCCAGCTTCTACATAATTTTCCCTCTGGTTTATGTCATACTGGATAGGTTTTTTTTTTAAGAGTTAAGGACTTGTTAATATTTGAGTGTAATCCGCTTTGACAATGGATAATAAAAATTAAGCTACCAATCAATATTTGCTTCAGCTGTTGCCTGCTTAACTGAGAAATGCAGCCAAACATCTGACTTTCTAACATCTACATTCTCCTGCCAATCATTTCCTTTCACAGCACTGAAGGATTCAAGTCCAGGGCGACGATGGTGATGATGAGAGAGGAAGAATTACAGACAAGTAGGTCTAAAATACAGAGCTGGATAAACTTTCAGCCAGACCACTTTCAGGATCTGTGCGAAAGAGCCTGTCTGTGGGGGCAGACAGAGAACTGGAGACTAGTATTCCCTCTGCCCCTGCGGCTACTACTTCGTGGTCTTCCTGCTGTGTTTGCAGACTATGGTAGGTCACTGGAAATATCAAGTCAAAAGGTAGTGCAGAATTTTGTATTAGTTGTGAAGTAACACAGCCTCGGCTATTTTTAATTGAAGGCTGAAGCTTCTCTGGAAAAGGAATGATAGAACAAGCATTTGTGTTAAAACCTAAATGCATCTTCCTCAGGCCATTAGAATACTGAACTTTTGTCTATAGAGCCGGGGTAGGAAACCTTTTGGTTTTGCTAAAATGACCACTATTAAATGAACTCCTGTTTCTACTCCCAGGATTGCATTGGGTTGGCATAGAAACCACACCAGGGCTAGACAGCTACAGCAGTTCCACAGGCACTCCAAAGAAACAAACAACAAAAACAAAAACAAGAGGATAGGAATAGCTCCACCAAAGAAAGACGTGTGTAGGCTCGGAGGGAGGGAGGTTGAACTCACCTGGAGTTTAAAAGGCAGCCAAGCCCTTGAGGACAAGGCAAAGGCAAAGCACCTTCTAGATAAGGACGGAGTAGGGGGCGATGCCTATTGCACAACCTCAGCCACATTTTGAACTCCTTCAAGTGGGCTTATTCTTGGTGAAACATATAATTTCCCTTTTTGAGACTGCCCATCACGGGGGGAAATTAAACTGGAACACAATTCCTTGGAGTAGGAGCAAGCTCTGAATTCAAGAAACTAAAGTACAATGCATACAAGAAATTCCTTAGAGAACATCCTGTTCCTCCCCACCGAAAGATGCAGGCTGAATTCGTATTTCAATCTGAGATGTAATTTTGTTAACCCTAGATTGCTGTATAAGCCACATTAGGGTTATACAACACACTAAGCCGTGGTTCACCCTCATGCTCAGTGAAAACCACATTATAGCTTAGCCATGCTATCTGAAGCAGGCCTGATAGACTGGCATGGTGATAACACTTTCTTTTGTAGGTCCTGCTTTGCATTCCAGGTTTGACCTCTAAAGAAAGCTATTAAACTAGGAAATTAACATACCACTAACATACCACAGAGCAGCAAAGCCCTGAGGTATGTTAACATCTTTATCCCTGACAAATGTTCTTAGAATGTAGAGTGCCATTCATTCATTTCTTCTGTATAAATATTCCAGATATCTCTTCCCCCTTTAGGTCAGTCTCCTGCTAGAAGAAAAACACAAGGTTGCCATGGTATCCTCAGTGTTTCAGGTACCAAGACAGAAAATCCTGAGTTTGGCTACTAAGCAAGGTATGCAATAAGACATTAGAGGATGAAGGTGTTACAAACTTGTCACTACCTACCCTGCTTCTACCTTTACCATTTTAAGGAGCCACAAAAAAGGATTTCAGCCAAGGGATGGTCATGTACAGCAAATGGAGAAGATGAAGGTTTCCTGGAGGCTGAACAACACTTTTAATTCCACCTGAGTCATCAAGAAGAGAATGGATCAGGAAATCACAAAGCAATTTAGCTAAGTCCAAGCCTGTTCTCTAAGGCCACTTGGCACATAGCAGTGTTTTTTCTTCATGGGCTTTGCAGATTTGATTTTCACTAATTCTTCTCGTTTCTGTTCTTACTGGCAAGGAAGAAATAGAAGCATTCTTCCATCTATTTCCCCAGGCACTGAGCTGTGTTGTGAACCAGGGGTCTAATAAAGCCCTTTAAGAACCCCCATCTGTATGATACCCAGGACACTAACAGAGCAGGGCATTGTATGCCTCCAGGTGCTCCCTTGCCATTTGCTGACGAAATAAAAATCAATGTAACCCATCCAGAGCAATTAAGAGGTTAAGACACACAAGTAAGTGTTCCTTCACAGTCATAGTTATGAAGAGCTCGGGGTAAGACTGCCATCTGGTGAACAATGCAAGTACAGCGGCATCTTGTCAAATCTGCCAACAAGCAAACAACTTGCAAGTCCCCTTAACCATTTAACTACCAGCCCAAGGTAAACTGAATGCTTCCAAAATCAATGTAACAAAACAGCATATTATTGATATACGAACCATCCAATCAGGGGAAGTCAATTCAGTTCATTGCTCAGGTGTTAACTAGAGCTGGGGGTGGGTGGCAATTGTATGGCATTAAGGCCTTAGGGGGAACCCCAAAGGCTGATGATGAATGTTGCCTGAGTGCTTCAAGGATCAGATTCAAGCAAAAGGGGCTTGGCCAAAACCCACTGGAAAAACACCACCTCCAAGATGCCTGACTCCCCTAGTTTTAGTTCTATCCTACTATTCTATTTCTGAATTCTGCTCTAATGAAGTAGAGGGGGAGAGGAGATGACTTCAACAGAAGGAATGTTTTTTCAGCTGTTGATTCTACTGGGTGAAAAGGTCAGCTAGCAGGAACATCAAACACCACTGTAGGTCAAGTATTCCTAGAGGAGCCTTTAAAGATCACCTGTTCCAGCTCAACCACTGGCCTGCCTGGCCACTTTCAACAGGAGCACTGTTTTAGCAGGCCATATGGGAAGAAGTATCGTACCCCATGTGAACCTGCTCTCAAGAGTGGATAGGACCAAGGTAGACAGCAACTGCAAAGGCAGCTCAGGCCCACAGTTACAAGTTCCTGAAGCAATGTTGGGTGAAACCAAGCCTTCAACATCTGACAGAGCAGACAACACTCTAGAACTAATTGGCATCCAGCCCTTTCCAATATTCAGGGAATTGAGGGGACATTCAGGTTTTCTGTAAGAGGAGAACCATGTGGGTGGCACTGGCTCGCTATCTTCTTAAGCCCACCTAGTAACTCAAAAATGAAGGAGAGATGAGAGGTGGCTCCATCGCTGAAAAGAAAAGGTACATTTTCTGAGTCCGCTCACTGCCCAGATTTGGGAAGCTGGGGAGGACAGGAGTCATCAAAAAACCCTCTGCTATTAGTGAGCTTGTTTCTTCTTTGAGAAGCTATCAGAAGCTGAGCTCGTGTTCAGCATCTTCATGCTGTGGGATTCTGGAGGAAAAAGAAAAAGCAAGAGGCCTGGGAAGCATCTGAAGCACAAATCCTTAGCAAGCCATTTAGACTTCTCTCCCAGCAGGAAGCAGGCCTTCTCTTTTCTAATGAATAAGCCCATCAGCCTTACATTGTTCCCCAGTGCCCAGGTCTGCTAGTGTATTAACCTCAAGAGCATACTGAACATGGAACAAACTTCCTCAAGAGCATACTGAACATGGAACAAACTTCTTGAATCTCCACTAGCTGCTAACACAAGAAGCTGGAACTGCTAATGGAAGAGATGCTCCCATCTTGGCACAAAGCCAACAGATTTAACAAGGTTCAGAAATTCCATCCTTGCCAGTGTGAAATGAGTCAAGAGGAAGGCCGAGGTCCCACAGAAGTTCTCTCCTCTGGGTAGCCAAAGCTTGTAGCAGTGCCAACATGCTCCAACACGTACCAGGAACTGACAGAGAGCGAGAGAGAGGCTGTGCTGGCACCTGAGGCAGGTCTGTAGCTGAAATCTGGTCGCAGAAAGCATTTGGCTTGGAGGGTTTAAGAGTCACCATTTAATCCCATTTAAGTTACAAAAGGAGGAGTGTGCACGCTACAAAATAACCTTGATATGGGAACGTTAACCAGTTACAGCTTCCATTCTGTGCAGGAAACCTGCTCCAGTATGGCTGGGTAATGCCAGCAGGGAGGCCTCCTATACCCCAGGCATGCTGGGATTCCAAGATTCAATGCAGGGATACCCCGCAGGTAGTGGAGTTAAGATGCAGCAACCAATTCTGGCTTTGGTTTGATTCTGATGGGCGATTTTTCTGTGGAGAAGGAAAAACACACATAAAGAGGAAGGAGTTATTGGTTTTGAATGGTTTTAGAGCCAGTAAATCCTAAGCAGTGGTTTATACAATCCTGCAACTGACATACACCTGGAGCAACTTTTCAGGATCTCAGACACAGGCTGCCTTTGCACCTGCTCATACAAACATTCCCCCAGGATGAATGGCGAATACCTCTCTGTTCTTCCAGAATGATCATATACTGTGTTTGCACCGTTATATTCTTCTGGTGCTGCATTATTACCAGATTTGTCAAGGTCAACTAACAAAGAGGCAACACTTGCCCAAATACAACCTCTCCTCTCCCCACCCCAATCTTTCTGGAGAGGCTGTGCTTAGCTATGAGAACACTCTTCAGTTCTGCTCTTCAAGCAGATGGACAATATTCTCTCAGTGGCCACCTAATGCCTTTTAAGAGAGAAATACTGTGACAAGGCACAGAAATTCATGGAAGAACATGCCTAGCAGCTGGGCTATATCAGGCTACTGCTAATCATGCTGTGAATGAAGAATGTAAGTGGCAAGAGACTCTGCAGTATAGTAAGCAAAGACAATGTTGTTGTTGTTTTAAAAAGCCGATTCTTTTGTCCAGTTTACCTGAAAGCATTCTTCTGATTCTGACCTGTCTTCCCAGGTCTAACCCATTTAAAGGAAGGATTAGTCAAACCAAGAAAAGGTTTAAATAATAACAAACTCTGTAAATAAAAGCCAGATCTTGCTGCTTGCTAGAAGAGCTATATATTTACATATGATATAGTTGGGTGTAGTTTATATCATCATCATCATCATCTTTTGTTATTTATCATATTTATATACTGCATATTCTCAGCAGAGCAAGCCCATGACACTTTCTAACAAATAATTAAGTCCCAAAGATAACATACACAAAATATCATAAAACTTTGTAAAATCCTAAAACAATAATCACATAGTGCTCCCCACCTCCAAGCACAAAACAATATGAAACTTAGCATCAACCCTAAAGACAGCAGATTAGAATGCATTCTCTGGGGAAAGGTGAATGTGCAAAAATACATTCTAATGTTTTTCCCCTGAAACATGCCAGAAAAAAGCAGCCAAACTCTTAGAGGAAGAGAATTTCATAGCACTGGAGCCATCACCAACATCACAGATTCCAGGTGAACCTCTTTCTAGGGTGGCATGTACAAAAGGCTTTTATCTGAAGAACGCAACTCCAGGCCTACAATATACAGGAAACCTTTCCTTCAGGAAGATGGGCCCCAAGCCTTTCAGAAATTTAGTATCAAGCACCTTGAATATGATTCAGAAATCTGTTGGCTGGCAGCTTAGCCAGAATGTGTCACGTGCTCCTGCTAAGGCACACCTGACAGAAGTACGGCTGCAGCAATTGGATCTGTGACAATTCTCCTTAAAGGACATCTTTACACTGAGCATGTTGCAATAGTCTATTTGGGAGGTAAGCAAAGCATGAATAATATGATCTCCTCAGAAAGGATCAAAACTGGTAAATCATATACAGGGCGAGAAAAGATGGTCTAGGCCACTCCATTGACCTATGCATTCAAGGATAGCACGAGGTCCAAGAACCCATCCAACAAACTGTAGATTTACTCCTTCAGGAGCAAATATCAATCTAGACTAGGAAGAGTCCCTCTCAATCATCTGAGAACTCACCAATCTTTCTGACTTGTCTGGATTCAGTTTTAATCTGCTGCACGTCATGCAGACTATAATCTGGTCCAAGCAAAACCAATTCTAAATACATTGCTTTTAATCTATTTTTGAGAGTACCAGGTTCTGGGCATGATCATTACAATTAACTTATTAAAAATCAGAAAACTACTTTGGGCTTGAATAGCTGGAAGTTGACATCTTGTGCTATAGATTCAGTTTGGAAGAGGTGCTTCAGAATATGCAGGAGTGCAAACATGGCACCTGTTTGTGATTCATTTAAGCAGCTGTGCTGTTTTCCAGGATCATACAGTGGCAGCTACTGCAGAGAAGCTTCCCCTATTGCTACATGATCCTGAAATTAGATGCGGCTGCTTTAATGAGTCACAGACTAGTACTACATTTGCATTTCAAATGAAATCTGAGACACCACAAAGCCCTGCTTTTTAGTTCTCATCCTTTTTGTACAACTACTGCTTCCTACTTTCATTCTCTACAAATTGACTAGAGCACCACTTATCTTACATTTCAGTGTTTGCTTTCAGAAACAAAAGAGACAAGCAAACTGAACAAAAAACAGGAGCCAGATGTTTAAGACACGAATTAGAAGTAACTTTATTTTTTTTAATTGGAGATTCTAGATTTTAGACTCTAATAGCAATTCAGAATTAGTTAAGAGATAGGAAAACAGTTAACAATTTCTACATAAACAAAGAATTGATCAAAATGCTATGTTCCATGCCTGAAATGGGAGAAGCACTTGAGTGAAACCTAACCTCATATGAAGTCTGTGCCCTAATATGGTATAATGATTAAAGTGCAGGACTGAGATGAAACATGCCCAGGTTCATATTTCCATTGAACCATGAAGCTCACAGGCTATGGGCTATGGTGACCCTCTCAGATTAGAAGGGTTATTAGGAGGATAAGATCAATAGAACCCCATACATGCTCCTTTGAGTTTGCAGAGGAAATATGGAATCTAACAATAAAATAGGTAAGATCTATAGCTAGTCAAAGGAGTAGTCAAGAGGTTGAGATTCCAAAGTGTAGTAGGCTCAGGTCCAAATTACATCTCATATAAATAGAAAAGTCACTCTTTTTCAGCCTTCCCCTTTATCAATACTGGGCTAATGCAACATACCTATTTACAAGGTAATTTATAAAAAATTACCACCAAATAGTACAAGCAAAAGACTACAAACTCTAAAGCTCTATATAAATTATAGTAACTAGGTTGGGGGCTGAACACAGAGTAAACATTGGGACAGAGTGTTATAAATAGCCCTAGAGATGCTTGTGAATGTTCTGTAGATTTCATGCCTCTCTTGAAGTATTTCATGCAAACACAGCCAAGACCAAGACCTCTTCTGCTTTGTGCACAGTGGCAATATCAAAAGGAGAGGAGAAACTCCAAACAGATAATACTACCTGAAATCTTTTCTGGGAGAGGCTCTGAGGGAACCTCTGGAAGATCAATCTGCTCCTGGAAGAAAAAAAAAATGCTCCTTGTGAAATACATATTCTACAGATAGCAAACAACTTTATATTACGGTAGAATTTTTAAATGTACAGGAAGGAATTATGTTACCATCTGTCTGCCACTTCTAGGATTTCAAGTCTGTATTATTTACAGTGTTCCTGCAACACTTTGATGGACTATTCTGATTAATTTGGTTAAGTGACAGCTATTGACTCTTCAATGAATAATTCTCAATTCGTAAGGACTTCATGGGGATGGGCATGTAATTTTCTTGACAACAATACGGCAATCGTTTGCCACTGTTTTTTTTTTCTTTCACAGCTAGTTTATAGTTCTTGGACTTCCTGGTCCAAAGCTGTTCAGTTTTTTCAAGATCTCCTATAGCTGGCTGGTTGTTGTCTACAATGTGTTCATCTGAGTATTCACCTGAGCATTGGACAAGTACAGTAATTTCTTAGGAAACATTGTGGATTGCTCAAATTAATAGCTATGGGTTCATAATAATTCCAATCAGATACATAGTCACCATTTCCTGTCAAGCAACAATGTATGGGTGCTGAGATACTACCCCTTCTTTTATCCCTGAAACTGCTGTTAGACACCACAGCAGGAGAACTACAGGAGCTCCCTAACTTGTAAAGTGGAATAACTGGAAGATTACTGAAGTACTATCTCCTTTCTTGCCCAGAGTAAGAAGAAAAGATATACAGTTAGTCCTCAAGTTATGACTGCAATTGGGACTGGGATTGCCGTCCCTAAGCAATGCGGTTGTAAAGTCACGTGACCAGGTAACTTAGCAACAGCAATCCAGGCAGTCCTGGTTGTCATAACCCAAGACACGCGGGTCATTAAGCAGGAAGCAGAGGGAGTCCCAGATAAGGAGTGTGGGGATGCCACAGGGGGATGGGGGAGACCCGGGGAGGCCTGGTGCAGGCCACATGTGAGTCGGGGGAGGAGGTGCTCAGTATGGTGTGAGTTCAGAAAGGCCAGGAAATGAGGGTGCGGGGAACATGCAATCACAGGAAGGCAGGAGAAAGAGGATGCGGGGTACACGCATGCATATGTGTGATTGCAAGGAGGCCAAAGAAAGAGGGTGTGGGGTGTGTGCATGTGTGTGCAGGGAAGCCAAGGAAAGAGAGCGCGGGGTGGGTGCATGCATTGTGTGATCGCAGGCAGGCCAAGGAAAGAGGGCATGGGGTGTGTGTGTGCGATTGCAGGGAGGCTGTGGAAAGAGGGTGCAGGGTGCATGTTTACTTGTGGACAAGTGCAGGGAGGCTGTGGAAAGAGGGTGCGGGGGTGTGCGAGTGAAGGGGGGAAGGAGGGCGCGATGTGAGTGAAGAGGGCCAGAGGGGTAGACTTACCCCAACAACTTGCGACCTTCCTTGCCAGCTTCCCATTGACTTTGCTTGGGGGAAGCTGGCAGGGAAGGGTGCAAATGGCAATCATGTGACCGCAGGACACTGCAAATGGTCATAAGTGTGAACTGGTTGCCAGGTTCATGTGACTGTGGGGGCACTGCAACGGCCAGAACTTTGAGGACCGGTTATAAGTCCCTTCATTCAGCACTGTCATAACTTTGAACGGTTGCTGAATGAATGGTCGTACTCAAGGACTACCTGTAAAGTGAACTTTGATTTGTATTTCCTGCAGAAATAGCAGCTATTTCTTTTCTAGTGTAGACAGCCTGGTAAGCACTGAGACATGAAGCCAATTTAAAAGGTATGCAGTCCTATCTAGAGTTACCCAAAGACTGACTGACTGACTAACCAACTAAATAAACAAACTAATGCCCTACTTGAATTTTCTTGAGCTAAGTTCTATCAGAACCAATAAAAAAACAAACTTACAGTTCTGGGTTAAAGTTCATTATTTATTGTAATAAAGACTGATAGACATATATCATCAGCTTTAAAGACTACACTGTTTCATTGTTAGTATGGGAAACTTGTTTCCTCTTTGATCAGTTAAAACAGGTAAGAACCAGAATGGAAAAAGCTCCTAACATTAACAGGGGCCACACGTTTTCTAATTCTTGCTTTTGAAAATACATGAAGGTAATTATAATCCCCAGTATCTTCCCTATTCCCTTTCCAATATCTTCCCTATTCCCCTTAACATATAATTCCAACCAAAACATCTAGAATTTTCTACCCTGAATCTTAGGTACTGGAGTGAGATATTTATTGGTCTCCTCTCTGCACAAGTTCATAATAAGTTATTAATTATTTTTGTTAGCATTAGCTCTTGCCAATCTATTTCTAACCGGAACACAAAATACAGCATACTGGTACTCATACAAATGCATACTTATTGTGGAAATAAAGTTTTTCTTATCCCAGAGTGAAGGGCCAACTTTCTAAGAAGGGAATTATGCAGTTGGAAAAGTGGTCCAGAATTGGATCCATACAGTAGTCCAGGGCACATGGAATGGCCATCACCAGATACTAGTGTATAACAGTACCTTACCTTCAGAGGAATAGAAAGGAATAAAAGGAAAAATATTCTATCTTTCTATTTAAAGTTTATCCTGAAGAATCAGGCTGAATCCTTCAGACTCAGAAGGTTAATGCAGATGATACAATCAGAATGTTTTGGAGCCTATCATGTGACAGAAACATTGGATGAAAATGCCGCTTCCTAATAAAAGATACCACTTCAAAATACAACTCCTGAACTAATTCCCTGACTTGGCAATTGGTACTTACCTGAGTGATGGCATCTAATTCAGCTAAAATGGCATCTTCATCCTCCGCAGTGAAACTGCCAGACAATATCTCATCTATTTGCTGCAAAGAAAAAGGCAGAAGACTTGGTGACCACCAATGCAATAAAAGATCCCCAAGTTTTCAGCTCCCTCACTGACCTGCGGCACACTTAAAACATATGAACTATTGTACCTACCTGTTTCAATCTCAGCTTCAATACTCAGGACTAATTTAATATATACCGTATTTTTCCGTCTATAAGATGATACTTTTTTTCTAAAATCGTTACACTAAAAATTGAAGGGCGTCTTATGCAAGGAAGTAAGCTGAGGAGAGAACCGCGTGGTTGCGAAACTGCCCATACTTTGTCTCTGCAAACAGACTTCCTCCAATTGGTTTGTTGAGTATCAGCTGACGTCAGTTACCAATCTCAGCTTCAATACTCAGGACTAATTTAATATATACCGTATTTTTCCGTCTATAAGATGATACTTTTTTTCTAAAATCGTTACACTAAAAATTGAAGGGCGTCTTATGCAAGGAAGTAAGCTGAGGAGAGAACCGCGTGGTTGCGAAACTGCCCATACTTTGTCTCTGCAAACAGACTGCCTCCAATCACGAGTGAAACTGCCCATACTTTGTTTCTGCAGAGAGGCTTCCTCCTATCACTAGCCTCCAATCACAAGTGAAATAGCTTGTCTCTGCAAACAGACTTCCTCCAATCACAAGCCTTATGTAACTGACGTCAGCTGATACTCAACAAACCAATTGGAGGAAGTCTGTTTGCAGAGACAAGCTATCGGTAGTTTCACTCGTGAT